GGGGACTTTACATGTATTGGATTTTACCTGTATTGGGGATTTTACATATATTGGATTTTACATGTATTGGGGATTTTACATGTATTGGATTTGACATGTATTGGGGACTTTTCATGTATTGGGGATTTTACATATATTGGGGATTTTACATGTATTGGATTTTACTTGTATTGGGTTGGGATCATGTCAAATGACAGCAATATTAAAGGGCGCAAGAAGAAGTCGACTGTTCAACATTTTCAAATAAATAAGTTGAAATTTTAAACTTTATTCAGGGTTATTTATTATAGGGGCGGGAGAGGGGTTGTGGGTTGGTCATGGTGCATGCATTGTGGTATGAAAAAAAGTTACACAAAATAGGGGAAAGGCAGTAAAATATGAATCTCTCTTGTTCTCTCTCTCTCTCACACACACACTCACTCACTCACTCACTCACTCAACCACACACACACACACACACACATCAAACACACTCACTAAGTCACTCACACACACACTCAATCACACACACTACACACACTCAATCACACACGCTACACACACTCACTCACACACACCGCACACTCACAAACACTCATTCACTCACTCGCTTTTCTAATTACTTTTTATTTCGTCTCTGCCTGTCAACTGACTTATACACGTTCCTATTACTATATCAAAATATAGCAAGCAAAAACTAAGTACGATGAGAGATATTGCGATGCAGAATCTATGGCGTGACACCTGCTCATTGCCGTAGACAATATCTCCAAATATAAAACTTGTGCCCAAGGTGCGCATTTGGGAATCATACAAGGCGTGCACGGGCACGTGGGAATCATACAAGTCTTGCACGTGGGAATTATACAAGGCTTGCACTTTGGAATCATACAAGGCTTGCCGTGGGAATCATTCAAGGCTTGCACGTGGGAATCATTCAAGGCTTGCACGTGGGAATCATACAAGGCGTGCATGGGCACGTGGGAAACATACAAGTCTTGCACGTGGGAATTATACAAGGCTTGCACTTTGGAATCATACAAGGCTTGCCGTGGGAATCATTCAAGGCGTGCACGTGGGAATCATACAAGGCTTGCACGTGGGAATCATACAAGGCTTGATTTCGGCGACCTTACCCAATGCTGACTTATCACAAGTACGAAAGACGTACTTGGTCAAGGGCAGGCAATTTACCCCCTCGACGTGCGATTTCTTTCTCTCTCTCTCTCTCTCTCTCTCTCTCTCTCTCTCTCTCTCTCTCTCTCTCTCTCTCTCTCTCATACACACACACACACACACACACACACACACACACACACACACGATCTTAGTGAATATGAGAAATATTCTAATTTGTTTCTATCGCAGATGAAAAAGTTAACTTCACGACTTCGGCAGAACACTTCTCAAGTGTTTTCGTTGTTTTGTTTTTTAACCTGTCTCTGAGTATTTCTCGGTAATATATGTCAGGGCTCATTGTCATGGAAAAATAGAACAGTCGTCACTGCAGAATCCGGCGGCTACCTCACAACGTCGCCCATTTTGCCTGAAGTTCCCACCCTGCACTCGCGATGATTATTTTATGACTGCTTCAAAACACCCATTCACTCTGGTGAGATTCCAAAACCAAAACGTTATTATAATTTGTACGTCACAATACATGCATGATACTACGGTGGCCCATACCCGCCACTGGTGAGATCATTTTTCACTGAATGCCTCTATACCAGCCGATCCTGGTACGGTCACGGGATGCAACTCTGCACAGCGTATCATAGCACCTTAGACTACTTCCTTTTCCTAACACCCTGGTGCCAGATAACTACACGAAGTCCCCCTTCCAATCGTCGCACCCAGGTGCAAGGTTCAAGGTCATACCCTAGTTGTTAGACAATGGGGTAGAGATGGCTTGTCGGAACATTTACCTGGTATGGTAATGGTTGGTTGGTTGGTTGGTTGTTTTACGCCGCACTCAGCAATATTACAGCTATAAGACGGCGGTTTGTAAATAATTGAGTCTGGACCAGACTATCCAGTGACTGATATCATGAGCATCGATCCACGCAATTATGATCGATGACATGCATCAACCAAGTCAGCGAGCCTGACCACCCTATCCCGTTAGTCGCCTCTTACGACAAGCATACTCGCCTTTGTCGGCGAGTATGGGTTGCTGAAGACCTATTCTACCACGGTTCTTCACGGGTCTGTTGTGGTGATGGACCAGTCCTAATTGACTTAATCCTCTGTATAATTAAGATATAAGAAATTTGACGTTTTAAAGACATTTGGGGTTAATGGGTAAAATAATTGATGAAATCAGATATAATAGGACTATATATTGTTTTATTTTCTACTCGTATAGATTTAACTAATTAAACATTTGATCATTAAAACCACTTCACTTAAATGGGTAAAAATAAGTGGCAATATTGACACATGCTTTCATCACAGATTGAATTGATAAATTTATTTATTTTGGCATTTATGTAACCGATGTTTTTAAAGTTTATAAAAAATACCCAGCAGTGAAGTTTCCACGACATTTGTTTATAAAAGAACATGACTGTGAAGAACATTAGAAATCAACATCAACTGCCATTACCACATACATCGTAATTAGAATAAATCTCAGAATGTGTTCTGTTGTAAATTGCAGTCGAATTATTTCAAGTTTGTTTGTTTGTTGGTTTGTTGTTTAATGCCGCACACAGCAATATTCCAGCTATATGATGGCGGTCTGTAAATAATCGAGTCTGGACCAGACAATCCAGTAATTAATATCATGAGCATCGATCCGGGCACTTGGGATCGATGACATGCATCAACTAAGTCAGTGAGCCTGACACGACAAGCATAGTCGCCTTTTACGGCAAGTATGGGTTGGTGAAGACCTATTCTACCCCGGATCTTCACGGGTCTTCAAGTTTGTTGATATACAGCTTGAATGTATATACTCAGTACCAAAGGACACGCCAAGGTGAATACCTCACAATTTTATTATTTATGTGATTTCTAAAGGTTTTTTTTCATGTAATGTAATTGTTAACAAATGTTTAAAAGCAAAACGAACTTTGATCTAATAACATTAAAAAAACAATTCTCAAAAAGCAGAATCAATATGAACAGAAATTGTTTTTTATGATTTAATATATTCTATTGAGAGAAACACAGAAGTGAAAATTCTTTTCATTAAAAATAAGATACTAGCGTTTTATATTTAATCAGTGACAATTATTATAAGTCTTATATTCTCATAAGGCGTCTGACAAATGAGGTATGATCGGGACTTATCCATTTTACCACTTGGGTAACAAGCATTGGGTAAGTAAAGATAAGATACTAGTATATGGCTGAACGACTTCTTTATTCACCGTATCAAGACTTCACATCTAAAACGCCCCTGATGTTTGACGTTATTCAATCTACCAAGACTTCACATCTAAAACGCCCCTACTGTTTGACTTTATTCACCGTATCAAGACTTCACATCTAAAACGCCCCTGCTGTTTGACGGAATTCACTCTACCAAAACTTCACATCTAAAACGCCCCTGCTGTTTGACGGAATTCACTCTACCAAGACTTCACATCTAAAACGCCCCTGCTGTTTGACGGAATTCACTCTACCAAAACTTCACATCTAAAACGCCCCTGCTGTTTGACGGAATTCACTCTACCAAGACTTCACATCTAAAACGCCCCTGCTGTTTGACGGAATTCACTATACCAAGACTTCACATCTAAAACGCCCCTACCGTTTGACTTTATTAGCTGTATCAAGACTTCACATCTAAAACGCCCCTACCGTTTGACTTTATTCACTGTATCAAGACTTCACATCTAAAACGCCCCTACCGTTTGACTTTATTCACTGTATCAAGACTTCACATCTAAAACGCCCCTACTGTTTGACTTTATTCACCGTATCAAGACTTCACATCTAAAACACCCCTACTATTTGACGTTTATCACTGTATAAATATTTCATATCTCCTTCTTTGCAAATGCTTAGTGTAGACCATTGCTGGTATCTCGGTCCGCAGGCTCACCATACCATCTGAAGAATAAGAACCCTAATATTGTGTGTGTATTCACATTTGTTAAATGTATAAAGTCAAACAGGAGTTCCTGTGGTTTTATGAGTGTATTTACAAGTTTTAGGTTTTGATTGTGTCGGTTTCTGTAGTCCAAGGGCATTAAGTTGCAATCTCCTGTTTGGCTCATCTGGGAAATGGAAGTTTAGATCTGTCATACATCATGATGCTATAGTAACATAACCTACCACGCCATCCAGGAGATCACTATGTAGTGGAAGCAGGCATGTACCGTTATTGTGGCAAACATTACAGTGAGTGAGTGAGTGAGTTGGGTTTAAAGCCGCTTTGAACAGTATTCCAGTTATATCACGGCGTGTCAGCTTAATGTGGAAGGAAAGCCCGAAGTGATGCAGGTCTCGGACGTTTACCACTTCGGTGAAACCCACGAGCACGGGTATGGTGCTGACAAACCTAGAAACATAATCGGGGCGAACCGTCATTCGAACCCACAATCATAGGTTTCTGGTGTGGCCAAGGGACGTAACTCTGCACAGCGAATCGCGGCGCCTTAGACGACTGGGCCACCCGTGCCCCCGCAAACATTACAGACATCAAGTGCTGTTCAAGCGCCCTCTGGTGACAAACTGCCTAAGTCAGCTTGATGTTGAGTAAAACCACAAATGTTAGTATCCGCTTACCACTTGGTGAAACCAACGAACATGGGTATGGTGCTGATAAACCTAGACATCTCATCATTGCCAGTCTGGGATTGGAACCCACTATCACAAGTTCCTGGCATGCCTAAGGGATGTAACTCTGCACAGCAAATAATAGCACCGACTTGGCCAAAAAGGCACTGGAATAGATTTATGCTTAAACCATTTACTTCTCATAATGAAGGCCTGGTTTGTTTTCACATACGCGTGTCAAAACCTTGATCGCTCACTCACTCAAAATCCATACAAAACAAGAACAATCAAACTATTTGATATAAAATGTTTATTATTAAATGTATATAAAATATTTACAAATATGTTTATTTCTGCTGTGATTATTAAGTTTACTCATGGGCCTAATTGCATATATACAGTCACTGATGATTGGTATAGTTGTATGTACAGTCAGTAATGGGAAGAAAAATATAGGAATTCCAACCAGTAATAACAAGGGCATGGACAGATCATGAAGAAACGTATATATCTTCACACCTGTCCATCAACAAGAAACATCCTTCCATACCGCTACAATGTATTGATGCCACTCAGCTCGTCACTCTGCAATGTGTAAGCTGTAGGACAGCACGGACCTACAGGTCTGTGATGACAGCAGTCGCAAATACAGTCTGGACAAGACAAACAAGTGGTTTATATTTTTATGGTTACAAAATTCAGACTAGGTACAAATCATTCACTTAAAATCATCAAAGTCTAACTCAATCTCTTAACTAATTTGCCATATGGACTACAAGATGAATATTGTTACATTTACAATTACATTTAATTATTGTTCAAGCAAATGCAAAAGTAATGTTTGTTCATTTGACAGACTATCAAGAATTGGTCTACTAAAATACACTTGTCTTTAATTAATAATATTACAACAGTATCATAGCAAGACATTGGCAATTTTGTCCAACTTATATGTAAATATGTCAGAATACCTCAAATCTACATAAGTAAAATGTTTCCCCAAAGATTTAAAACAATTATGCCAAACAATTCCCAAGGCAGTAAAATCCAAAATTCAGTTGCATTTTCATTCAAAGTTGGCCTGGAATGCACTCATTAGAAGACTTTGCAAGGACTGAACATCAACGGCCTTCACAATGTAGATTACCAGATTACTGGATGCGTAGATTTTTGTTGAAAGGACAGTTACACAAATACTCCTTTTCTCGTGACATTTTTTCCATTGGCTGGATGGGGGGGGGAAAACTATATTTTTTAGTATTTGATAAATCATGAAAGTGAACTTAATTTTGTGCCATGTGACCTTTGGCATGCGTACAATAATCGGAACAATTATAGGCCAGAAAAGTTTAGGATCTGGTGTGTCATGAGAAATTAGAAATCTATTTCAGCAACATCATAAATCATGAGTCTTAACATCAGCTTCAAGGATATACCAATATTTTTAACACTTGCTTGACCCTATGGGATATCCGCGGACAACATGCCGCATACTCGCGACAGTAAGTGATACAATGAAATGATTGAATATACTTTTCATTGAAGTCCCTCTACAAACAGTCAGAATAGGAGTTTCCTCTCCTAGACAATCCGTTCTTCTCCCTGGTGATTCCACAACCCAAAGCCACCGATGCTCAACCACTGATAATGTTGTACAATAGATCGCCAGTCATTCTCTTGATTTATGGATTTCGCAATATTTCAAAATTGGATCGATAGCGCTATACAACACAAAGTTCATGTTTTTTCAAGAGATTTTCAAGGTGAGTCAAAAATTAAGATGTTAAATTAAACACTTTCAATTCATCACATCATTTTTTCAAATATTTAGAGAAGATTTATTTGTAAAGCAAGAAAGAAGTCTGACCTTATTCACACAAATTAAAGGGTCCTTTTTCAAGTTTAATGAACCGTATTCGACATAATAAGCGTCCAGGGCACTCTCAAAATTAGAAATAGGTGGCTCTTATTAGAATATTATTTTGGTGAAAAAACAGAGTTGAAAGATTGTTAATTTCGTGGTTTATGCTGACAGCTATATATACGACAGATATATTTTTCCAGAATTTAATTGCCCATAATTAAGGGTGGATATAAAACACAAGTGTGAATTATACACAAATAAATTTGGGTCAATATATCAGCAAATATCGTCTTGGGTGCTTATTAGAGTGGAGCGCTTATTACGTCGAATACGGTAAGCTGTTACTTGGCAAATGGTGTTATACATCCAGTGGTTGTAAACATGGAGGCTGCTGGGACGTCTGATGACTACAAGCACTGTTTCTAATGTCACAGGAATCAGAGGTTCTGATTAAAATAACAATATTCTAAAATAAAAAGGCGTTTTATTATTTTAATCAGAATTGCGCATTCCTGCAAACAACTACTGGTTTGTACAAGAATGGATCAAGACCCATACCATCACGAATTCCCACACGAGTCCTTTAGATGATTATATGTCTCAATGATAATGAGGTAAGTCATCATTTCTTAATTATTGTAAAAATGAATGAATCATTTTCAAAGTTAATATTAACAAGGCACACAGGAGCTATAGTTTCTAGCCGTTCTGAAGTTTCAGCTTAAATGGAACACACCTGTACACTGTTACTACTTCTTGCTAATGAGGTTACATGGATGGGAAAAATGACTGATATGACAGTTAAGTTGGTCTCATCTTGTACTATATCTACATTGAATATTTGGTACCAAACTGACTGGTGATGAAAACAGATCTAATCAAATGGGATGTTTGAACCAGTTTGATTACACCCCACTAAAACTGTCAAATAGAATATTTTTATCAAAGAATATCATGAATTATTTTAACAAATAAACCAATGAATCCCCCTCAAATTAATCCAAAGCACTTTCTGAAGATTACCAACAACTTCTTTTTCATTTTTTCATTTCTATCTCCACAAAAAAAATCATCTTTTGCTGAAACAATGCCACTAGGGACAACATCATTTGAAACAAAGGTGAACAAGGGTAGATAACTCTAAATGATTAAAATGACCTTGCTATCCTCTCAGTCTACAAGTAGCTCAAAATGTACTTGGCCCACCATCTCATTACGATTGTGGTAGATGTTTCTGGCCCAGGCTTTGCAGGTTATCATTAACAAAACTCCAGGCCGGGGTTCCTCAAAGCGCACAAACATCAGTGGGGAACGATATCCTTGCTGGTTCCGGAAGGGGAAATACTTAAAGTGGAAGCCATTTTCGGGATGATACGTCAAGGGACCCATACTTTCCCGATCCACAGGGTTCTGAAACACATAATTCATGTAGCATTTTACATTTATTTCCTGAGAAAAATAATCTATTAATTGTAACAGGCAACAGTAGCACAATGTCAAAAGACATTTCTGTGCTCAGTGAAAAGCTTCTTTCAATGAGGCTTAATTAGTTTTAAACACTTGAAATACAAACAGAGTACCAGAGGGACAGAAGCTCACCACTATTCAGTGAAATAAAACTTGAATGGTCTTCTTGCATGTGGTGACATTTACCCTTCACGAAATAAAATGAAGACAACAAATCTATTCTGTAGTTCATGTATGCATGATTTTGTTTGTACTAAAACTCAAGTCTTGGGGATAATAATCTGTTTGTATGATCATTTCAAAGATAATGACACTGACCTCAAAAGACAATCAGTCATGCGCAAGACAGATCATTGATACATTTAAAACAGCTTTCTTCATTATGAAAGCTCTTTATTGTAAAGTGAGCATGTGGTAGACAAAAATCAGAAATTCAACCAAGATCCTCTGTAGGGCTGGGACGAGTGCAAATTTTCTACCTGGGTACCAAACACCCTATTATCCGGCCCTACCCGGATACCCGCTATAGGTCTCAAGAGTTGGGTACAAAATGTCCGAATGGGAATTGTTTTACGGCAGCCCTGGCAAAAACTATTTAGATAAACGTGTAAAACAACTTGGTCATGTATACACTGCAGTTGATTGATGCTTTATCCTTACTTGAACATATAAAAGTCAGAACGAATGCTTGCATAGTGAGAAAGAAATGTGAACATTAGCTATACTTGTAGTGTAACCACTGAGTTTTATAGTTAATGTCATTAAACAGTATGTCACGTGACTAACCACGGGTCCGGGTAGTCATGTGGGTACTGACCCAAGTCTCCGAGTTCCCCGTCCCAGCCCTAATATTCTGCATACAGGATCACAGGTGATGCTGTAGTGGTGTCCTCAGATCTTCACGCAGACAGAGAGGTGACATATCAGAGCAAAAGACCAGGGCCCACTTGCACAAAGCAATCATAGCGCTACGACTATTGTAAGCCTATGTTAAAGTATGGGAGTTACGATCATCTTAGCGCTAGATCGCTTTGAGCAAGTGGGCCCTGATCTTAGTCTGATACCCAAATATGACGGCAGACACCAAAATGTTCAAAGTGTCCCTCTGTGAATAAGACCTCAAGTTAATCCCAGTGATACGTACCTCTCCATCACACGTAACGATGATAGACCACTGACTCCATACGTCTCGGATCTCATCCGGAACTGTTGCATTTGAGAACTCCTCAGGTTCCCAAGCAAAGATCTGCAATCATCAATTAAAAACTTGTTGAAGACCAAGTTGATTGAGATAAAACAAAGCTGGACTCCCCTGACCCGCAACCATTAAACTGAAACTGACGTACAATGTGGTGGTGAAAAAGGGTTGGAGTGATGGTAACCCCTAAATTTCAAAAAAATAAACTATTGAAACAAGTTTAAACTTTTAATGTATCTAATCAATTACACTATTTTCTATAATGAACAACTTGTATCCACTTATTGTGGATAAGTTCATTTCTATATGTGAACTCTGTTACTATGTTGTTTTATAAGAGCGTTTCTATTCTAAATTTTCTTATTGGGACGAAACTATATGCATATGTTGCCACCTGACAACTTTTGCACAACTATATTGATAACCACAGTGACGTGACATCTAAAGTTCATCTTGCACATGAAACACAACATTTTCATGTCCATTTCATGTTCATTTGGGTGCGTTTTGGCGCATTGTTTTACTGTTGCGTTATTGCACACACTCCTTCTGTCCAAGCGTTGATCTGTAGCTATACAGTTGAAACATTTACATTAAATTGTATATTGAGATACTTATCCTATCTCACTCCACGGATTTCTCATTCTTCTTTCGATCTTGGTGTGGAAACACCCTTCCACTTTCAAAACACATTTTGCCCAAACACATCCCAGCATCACCATGGCCACCACATCAACAAATGGGTCAGGCGCTGTAACCCCTTGCATCGTGGCCCTACATGACCTGCTCACGTGACATAGCCTGCCACATCATTCTCTTTCTTACAGCAGACAGACCGGTGTAACTGAGATGCGGGGATGGTCGGGTGGGTATATAGCGTGTGAGATAGGTGATAAGTATAAAAATATTAAACGCACATATGTGTGTGTGTGTCTGTGAGTGTTTATGTGTCTGTCTTTGTGTCTGTCTGTGTGTGAGGGACATATATAGTTCTTTCAATACCGAATATTGAATCACGTCTCCCTTATATTGAGTAAGTCGTCATGACATTGAATCATGTTTCTCTTGTATTCAGTTTCCCGGCTACTGAATAGTCTGTCTGGTATTGAATCACGTCTCCCTGGTATTGATTATATTCTCCCCACCCCCTTCCCGCACTGGGGGTGAATGCATAATGCACAAACATGTCCTTGTCAGTAAATATGATACCACAGTTACTCTCAAAACTGTGGCGACCAAGTATCGGAGTATCTTGCATGGACTATGCGCATCCTCTCAGCGTGTCCACATCACTAGGAACCCCTTCGCGTCACTAGGAACCCCTTCGCGTCACTAGGAACCCCTTCGCGTCACTAGGAACCCCTTCACATCACTAGGAACCCCTTCGCGTCACTAGGAACCCCTTCGCGTCACTAGGAGCCCCTTCACGTCACTAGGAACCCCTTCACGTCACTAGGAACCCCTTCGCGTCACTAGGAACCCCTTCGCGTCACTAGGAACCCCTTCATGTCATTAGGAACCCCTTTGCGTCATTAGGAACTCCTTCGCGTCACTAAGAACCCCTTCATGTCATTAGGAACCCCTTTGCGTCACTAGGAACTCCTTCGCGTCACTAGGAACCCCTTCATGTCATTAGGAACCCCTTTGCGTCACTAGGAACCCCTTTGCGTCACTAGGAACCCCTTCATGTCATTAGGAACCCCTTTGCGTCACTAGGAACCCCTTTGCGTCACTAGGAACCCCTTCATGTCATTAGGAACCCCTTCATGTCATTAGGAACCCCTTTGCGTCACTAGGAACCCCTTTGCGTCACTAGGAACCCCTTCACGTCATTAGGAACCCCTTCGCGTCACTAGGAACTCCTTCGCGTCACTAGGAACCCCTTCACGTCATTAGGAACCCCTTCGCGTCACAAGGAGCTCCTTCGCGTCACTAGGAACTCCTTCATGTCATTAGGAACCCCTTTGCGTCACTAGGAACCCCTTCGCGTCACTAGGACATAACACTGGGTATTACACATGTTATGTGTTTTCATGTAAGCCATCATTTCAAGAATGACCGCATACCTTTGAAGTAGGGAGCCTATTCAGCTACGACTTGTAACCTATCTAATAGTCCTACAAGACAGGCCAAACACACGACTTGTAACCTATCTAATAGTCCTACAAGACAGGCCAAACACACGACTTGTAACCTATCTAATAGTCCTACAAGACAGGCCAAACACACGACTTGTAACCTATCTAATAGTCCTACAAGACAGGCCAAACACACGACTTGTAACCTATCTAATAGTCCTACAAGACAGGCCAAACACACGACTTGTAACCTATCTAATAGTCCTACAAGACAGGCCAAACACACGACTTGTAACCTATCTAATAGTCCTACAAGACAGGCCAAACACACGACTTGTAACCTATCTAATAGTCCTACAAGACAGGCCAAACACACTTTCCTATGGACAATAGGGTGAGCCAGGTTGGCATCTCTTTTTATGCTTCGTAAAAGCTATCAACAACACACAGGGGGGTTTGAAGCATGCTAAGAAGATCAATATCACCCATAAGAGGATCTTTGAACCATTACTGAGCCATCACACATCAAGGTGGAGGTACAGGGTTGGGACACCACCAAAACAGCCACGGCTTGCGGTAACTGTAAAGTCTCTACAAACAAGTTTCTTTACCCTCACAAGGGTACTCTGTCTGGGCACCCAAAGAGTGAAAATAATCAACAAAGGATTGATGTTCCAATATGTATTTCAGTATGTACAAGACACGGTCTACGATTCAGCCGAAGTAGGTACAGGTACGGCGTATTTTCCTCTGTGCTGATGAACTGCTGTCAGTTGTTGTGCCAGGACCAAAGGACCAAACTGGTGAAGGCCTCCGACATCGGTGACAGAGACGTCACAAAGAAATGACTTCAGACTTCCAGAAGCACCCTTCCATGATGTCAGATGACGTGCAGTTATTGTGCAACGGCATCATAGAGGTGACAGCTCCAGTCTTGTGTGGATTGATGCCATCAGGGGAGGCAATCCTGACAAAGGTGTAGGCTTGTGGGATCGCTCAGCAGATCCAAATGGAAACCTTTGTATGAGAGACTTCCGTGTTGGGCGTTGCTGATAGTGGGATAAAGAGGCTCTTCTGCAGCGTCACTGAAGCTTTCAGGTAAATGCATGGAGCTCTAACTGACCATAAGGACATGTCTTCATAATCACCTGGATTCAAAATAGGCGCTAGAGAAGGGATGGTGAACAACCGATCTCGTTGGCCCAGGAGATTCTTCACAATAAAATATCCTTGATGGAGACCATCTTGTTTACAAGCCAGACACTGATGCATTGTCGGACTGGATCAAGAGCTGTGATGAAAAAACGAGAAATGATTCAGGATGAACGGCTTAAAAGAGACTCAAACATTCAATTCCTGAAGACACCACTGGAGATGTTGGTGGACTGACGGATGTTGCAGTTTGAATGTGGCTGAAGTATTAGATATTGTCAGGAATAATTGATCTGGCGGTGATAGTGCATCATGATCACATTTTGAATTCCTGAATGAGGCGAATCTACCAGTTGAAAGAACTGGATTGTCATTTGTAGTAGTGATGAGGATATTGTAGATCCCATCTTGTTGGTGTACCATGCAATTGATGTTTTGTCCGACTGAACCCTCAGTCAGGATGCTTGTAGGAAGTCTGTCCAATGTGTCATCGCTAACACTAGCACTTGAAGTTGTTGATGCAGAAATTCTGGTCATCTACACACAAACACCCTGCATTACATAGTGTACTGAGTGTGCTCTTCAATCAATCATTAAGGTGATGCGTTGGTTGGAGTCACGTCACATCTTGGTCCTGAAATCGTAATTCTGCCAGAACAGTCGTAGAAACACATTGTAAAAATGGAAGCTGCATCTTGTAGGCTGAGACTGATCATATAACTCCCCGGTCGCATGATCGTACAAAGCAGGGTGATTGAGACCATGCGTTTCCAAAACTATGCTCACTGTCACATGAATTGCGACGAACGACTTACGTTTAGTCAGTCTGTTCTGGTTCCAGCAAAGGCGGGTTTGTTTACAACCCAGAGAAAGTCTATGCCAACTATACCTGCGCTGGAGCATGGAATACTGCATTAAGGCCTAACAGTTGGACAAAGCTCAGCACACATAAAACCCCATCATGTAACAACACAGTGATAACTGTTTAGCAGACAAACAAAATGGTGTTCATGTTAATGGTGTACATGCAGCCAGTTCCCTGGAGAATTTGTGCTGTGACCGGTGCATTAGCTAGTTGATTTTCATGATATTTGATGCATGTAAATAAGTCTGAAAATGACAAAAATCATCAAATCTCTTGTCGATCGCACTAGTAAAAATTTGCCGCATGATCCAGTCAATTTACATTCTTTTGACAATGCCTATCTGGAGAGGAGTAACATTCCCAATTTGGATCATTAAAAATTTGGCAATCCTCATGAACAACAAATTGAACGAACGGTGATTTCAATCCCTTGTAGGGGAATGTCAATATTGACAGAACAGTTGGCATAGATCCGAAAGAGAAGAGTATATGTCAATCTCACGGAGTCTCGCTCTTCGGGTTGATGTCGATCTGACTGAAATTTTTAACAGAATAAATGTCACCATAAATGCACATACTTAAGACTTCCAGCTTTTCTGCCCAAGTAATCATGGTAATAGCAAGGTAATGCATCATGAATTTGAGTCAGTTCCACAATGTCAGTGCTGGCATAGGCTTCCACAGTGTCCAGACACACCAGAACCTGACACAGGCGCTACGCCGGAGATTTGTTGCGACAATGTAAACACCTATGACACTGGTGGCAAATAATAACGTCATTACGGGACACAATCCCATCCAATAGTGGAAGCCATGAAGGCATTTCTTCTGCAAAGAGCTGTTTAAAGTTATCATATGCTTCAACACACCTTAAATGTCACATTTTGTGACAGTTTCTTTTTTTAAACATTCATATATTTGGGGTTTTTCACGTCCAGGGCTTGAATAAGAGATCACTTAAAAAGAATGGAAAATCTGTAATTAAGCCAAGGGTTCAAATACATGTATTTCACAGTACCTTGTGATTATGAAAGTTTGGAGGCCAGGGCTTTTGAATAAGACATTACTATATAATAATGGGTAAAATCTGTAATTAAACGCAAGAATTAAAACCATGTATTTCCCTGCCTCTTACCCTGTTCAACTTGAGCAATATGCAGGGTTGTCCATCATCAAACCCGAAGTTCTGTTGCTTCACACAGTCGGCTCCAAGCAGCTGGATATCAAAGCGGCAAACTTTGTCCGGTTGTGTTGTTCGACGCTCTCGTATCTCGCTGCAGTCAATGTAGTTTTCACCCTGCTGGTTCTCGTTCTCGTAATCTAAGATACACAAAGTAACAACATGTAAACAAAATATTTATCTACACATTACCTATGGCACCCATTAAAGACACAATATGAGAATGGACCTATGTATGTTATTTCTCCTATGTCCTGCCTGGACTCATCATCCTAAAGATGTATTTCTTCTAAATTTACATTTTTTTAAAACATGTAGTTTTTGGATAAAATGCTGAATATGCCTGGGAAATATTATTAGCATACAATATTTATCAGAACAACCTGATTTTTTATGAAGCACATATACAAAACCTCATATTTCCTACTACACTTTACAATTGTGTCAACTGATGCTCATGATATCAATCACTCGATGGTCTGGTCCAGACTTGATTTTTTATAAACACCCGTCATATAGCTGGAATATTGCGGAGTGGCATTAAACAACAAAGAAACAAATCTTACAAAACTTTACTGGTGTTTACTCTGTTTTCACAAAGAGGCAAAAAACAGCTTCAAGTACCCAGGTCTATATTTGCAAGTTTTTGTTATGAACATTGTTTATATAATTTTATATGATCAGAATACCACTGATGTGGAACACATTTATGTAAGTACCAAGTTGACTTTCTAAGAATACATTAATCTTTCAAGCTTGTTACATTTTCAAAACATGAACATTAGATTTAGAAAACGCCACTTTTAAAGATGGCCGTCTCACATCTCAAGTAAGCTTCCAGATGGTCAAGGTACTGGGTGTACGTGGACGCATCACCCTTCACGAAGCGAATCACAGTCGACATGGAGTCAGGCATGGGACGGAAGCCAATACCTGCAAACAATAACATAACCAATACAGTCACAGATAAATAATTAACCAAGTAATGAAATGAGCAACTAATTGATTCGTGGAACCACTTTCACATGAGGGGGTAAGTGTAGGATACAGCAACGACTCCGAGGTTATGGTCGGGAAAGTAAGACCTCGGCCAGAGGGTATTGGCAAGGTAAGAACGAGGCGCGAAGCGCCGAGGTCTTACCATGCTTACCTTGCCGATACCCGAGTGCGGAGGTCTTACTTTCCCGACCATAACCGAGGATGAGTGCTTTATCCAACTTATAAACCGTAAAAACAGTGTTAATAACATGTTTTCAGTAATTCGCTACGCTATTATGCTTCGTTTAACGGTATTTAGGGGTTCAACGAGGAATTAGCGATTTCTCGTCCGCACCGTTAGTCACATGACTTTTTGCACGAGCTTTTCGTGGGCACTACCTCGTGGCACATTCACGCTGAATGCAGTAGCCTAGCGCTGGTGGAAAATGACATTCGATTACAAAAGTTAGTGTATAATGCTAAAATAAATTTGTTAGTATTCCACTTCTGTGAATTAAAAACAAATATGGAATAGTATTATGCATTACCATTTATTCATATATAACTTATATAATATTCTTATAGCATCTGAAATCAGCCTGAAGCAGATGTATGGCAACACTGATCAAGTCAGTATTCAAGTGTAACAATAAATGTGAACACTGCAGAAAATCTGCATATTAAAGTACAGAAGTAAACTGATTTTATGAACCACAGATACAGTGAAACATATAGGAAATAGTTTATACTCAAATATCCCAATATCAAGATCTGACAAAATCTCCCTAGGTCCATCTTGTTTGTTTTTAACACTGCACTCAGCATTTTTCCAGCTATTTGACCGCGGTCAGTAAATAATCGAGTCTGGACCAGACAATCCAGTGATTAACATCATGAGCATCGATGCACACAATTGGATCGATGACATGCATCAACCAAGTCAGCGAGCCTGACCACCCAATCATGTTAGTCGCCTCTTACGACAAGCATAGAGGCCTTTTACAGCAAGCATGGGTTGCTGAAGACCTATTCTACCCCGGATCTTCACGGGTCATGGCAAGCATGGGTTGCTGAAGACTTATTCTACCCCGGATCTTCACGGGTCTCCATCAGGTGAACACTGCACGAACTGCAATCAAAATGAAGGATGTGTGTGTTCTGCAGCCCTTCAAGTGACTCAGCTTCATCTCACTACCACCTCGATTGGGAAATCGATTTGGAAATTTTGATTTTTGAAAATGAAAACCCACACAGAAAACAAATACCCTCGGTAATTAACCCTTTGGGGTTTAGTTGACACCTGGGTGACAAATTAACCACAATATATATTCTCTGGCCTTCTTATTCTTTATTGGAACTGGCAGTTTAAACTTGTTTTAGTGATACTGAACGCAGATATGCTTTGCTTGCTTGCTCTGACGTGACCTCCCAGGGAGGGTTCATCACATTTTGATGGAGACAGGTATCGAATCAAGAGTTAAAGATCGGATCTTAATGAAATGAACTACGTACATTATTGTAAGCCAGTACATCCATAATAGCAGTGAGACAATCTTGTGTATGTTGCACCTGATCAAGACTTCTTGGAAAAAACCCACAGACAAGCCAAACAAAGTGGTTGATGGTGTGAGTGAGTGAGTTGGGTTTAACGCCGCTTTTAACATTATTCTAGTTATATCACGGCGTGTCAGCTTAATGTGGGAGGAAAGCCCGAAGTGATGCAGGTCTTGGACGTTTACCACTTTGGCGAAACCCAAAGGCACGGGTATGGTGCTGACAAACCTAGAAACATAATCAGTGTGAACTGGGATTCAAACCCACAATCATAGGTTTCTGGAGTGCCCAAGGGACCCAACTCTGCAAAGCGAATTGGGGCGCCTTTGAACCCGTCCCCCTGGATGATGGTGTGATCAAGGATGAGCATACTCAGGACAGGATGGAACACAAACAAACCCATCAGTCTCCTTATCAAATTGATGTCTACACTCAGTCGCCATTGGGACCAACTGATACTCTTCTTAGTTTCCTCTGACACACATGGGTTAGCAGGACTGGTGTAAACCTGTTCTTGCTGGTTTTGGCCAAGTGAAGATCCGGGTTTAGAATACCTTCTTCAGTGTCTTCACGGTCTTCAGCAACCCATGTTTGCCGTGAAAGGCAATTATGTCTGTCGTAAGACTAACAGGATCAGTTGGTCAGCCTCTCTGACTTGGTTGATGCATGTCATCGAATCCTGAGTTTGACGTTAAACAACAAACAAACTTTCTGTTGTTTGTGAGTCTAAGTTTAACCTTGATGTGAGAGTCACTGTCAAGGAACTCACAGACAAACCAAGAACCATAACCAGGTTGAATCTGGAATTCATGAGCATTTGATACTGGCACATTAAAGGGACATAGCTTTGCACAGCAAATTATGTTATCTTAAGACAGCTGGGCCACCATTTTTGCTAGTGGCCATTTATTGGGTCTTACTGAAATTGTGCAAGGTAATGGGTTAGGGTTTCTAAAATAAGGAATTGAGTGAGTGGTTTTAACACCTCTTTCAACAGTATTGCAGTCTTATCACAGTGTGTCAGCTTAAAGTGGGAGGGAGGTTTACTTCGGTGAAACACACCAGCCGGGACAATCTGGGATACGAACCAACAATCATGACAATAATAGGTTGCCCCTCTGAAATGATGAAGTCGGCATCAGTTACCTGGAACTTTCAGGAGGCTGTCTACTCCCTGCATCGTGGGGAAGTTCCAGTCCAGAATGACAAAGAAAATGCCCAGGTTAGCCGCAAAGAATAATCCCAGCCCGACGTAGAAGGCCAAATAAAACAGGAAGCGGAACACTGGAACAGATGAATGGGATGTTATCAGTTGCTCGGATGTGTACAGACATTAAAGTTATGTTTTGTTTGTTTATTGTTTCACGCCGCACTCAGCAATATTACAGCTATATGATGGCAGGCTGTAAATAATCGAGGCTGGAACAGACAATCCTTTGATTGACATCATGAGCATTGATCCACATAATTGGGATACGATGACATGCATCAACCAAGTCAGCGAACCTGACCACCCGATCCCGTTAGTCGCCTTTCACGACAAGCATAATCGCCTCTTACGGCAAGCATGGGTTGCTGAAGACCTATTTCACCCCGGATCTTCACGGGTCCATTGAAGTTATGTAACGGGATACATTTGTTTCTGTTTTACAGTGTCCATGTCATAGTTTACCATACTGGCAGGGCCGGTATCTGTGGTCACCAAATATAGTTTGATCTTGTCAAGACCACAATGCAATAGTGACATGGAACATGTCATGATTTCAACAACAGATTTTTAATCCTTCTGTAAATTTTGAGAAAGCAGACAAGTTCATATCATCTGTTAAAATTCAGCATTGCAAGTAAACCCATTCACTACTAGTGTACATCAGAAGATTAGAAGCAGATTGATTCCATATTGACAAAGTTGAAGTCTATATTGAAAACACCTTTAATATTTGCAATAACAATTGTACATATTGTATGTCCATTGTATTTTATCCATAAATTTCTATAAATAGTAAATATTATTCTAAATGACAAACATGAGAGCGAGGAGTGAGTATGGTTTTACGCCTCTTTTAGCAATATTCCAGCAAAATCACAGCATGGGACACCAGAAATGGGCTTCACACATTGTACCCATGTCGGAAATCGAACCCGAGTCTTCTGCGTCACGAGCAAACGATTTAACCACTAGGCTACCCGACCGCCCTTACAAACATGAGAGATTGAGTGGTAACAAATAGCATGGACAGATGTCAGGATATGGCCATTGAGTTGTGCCAGCTTTTTCATTAATAAATGCAAGAAATCTACCACCCTCTTAGCTTAGTTGACAACAAAATTCTGTATCAGACTTACAAATTCAGATACCCTACAAAGTTTGAGACTGGCAGCTAATGCATGGTGACATAATATGAAAATAACTACATTTACTGAACAATGTTGTCTATTGATAATTTGTTGTACTTCTGCACAACTGTGTGACATTACTGGATCAAACGGTAGCATACAAAGGTGAATTCCTGAAATTCCGTGTCCATGATCAAAACATCAAAACCGGAAGCGATTGCAGTCCATCTGTAGTTACCTGTACACAGGTGCATTTGTTGTACACTTGACGATAAACGCCAATCCAACTTATGAAATGCCAAATTTATCAATAAACATACGTAAAAGTTCACAAAAATACATCAAATTTCATTTTCGAAAGTTTTACAAACATTTTAGTTTCTATTACGTACCCCAATGGACTGCCGTGAATCCCATCACCGTCCCATCGTCGGGGTTGTAACAGAACTTTTTAAAGGAATTTAATCTGTCTTCTGCCGTTGCCGCCGGCAGCATCGACTGCGACATCAACGTGTGCGCTGTCCATTGCGATTGCGATTCACTATAGCCAGTATAGGCAGAGACGCCAGAACGGACGGACGCCATGTTGGATTTTGAAGTCACCGACTGACTCAGGTGTCAGGCGCGCAGGTAAACGACGCCATCTATCGGACAGGTGTGTCATCTATTTCAAAGGGAGAAGATTTCAAGGCGCAAAACTGACTTACTTCCTCACACACACATTAAAAGTAGATAATGACTATTCGAATTGTGAAAAAGGTTATGCTTTGCTATAACATTATTTAATGAAACTTACCTTTTCAATTCAAATATATAAACAACCATAATTATGGGCCATTCTAAGACTTATATACGCTATAAGCTGCGGTTACCGTATCCCCTACTGCGTTCTTCGTCTAATATCCGTTTTCCCAGGAGTGACATAAACAAAGGTGTATATTAAGCAAGGGAAGAGATGAGGGGATACAGTAACCGCAGCAAATAGATGCCAATTAATTTAATTAAGATAGCAAGTTAGTAATTACTGATAATAGGGCTGGTACGTGAAACTCGGGTCGGGTGGGTACTGAGAAGGACCCGGGTACCCACAGGACTACCCGGACCCTTGGTTAGTCATGTGATATATTGTTTAATGACAAAAATTATCTACAACTGTATATGGTTACACTATAAGTCACTGATGTTCGCATTCCTTCTGACTTTTATATTCGAATAAAGATAAAACTTCAGTCAACTTCCGTGTATGCATGACCAGATCGTTTAATACATGTATCTTAATAAATTTTGTCCAGGGCTACGGTCAAACGATTACCAATAAGACATTTTGTGACTCTCTTGAGACCTACAGCGGGTACCCGGGTAGGGTCGGGTAATGGGGCGCGGGGTACCCGGGTAGTAAATTTGGAACCCATAAAAAAATGGTTTCTTTTCAACGGAAGCAGTTGAAATGAAGGTCTTAACCATTCTTCCCTGCAGGCTGCAATGGGGAAATATCGCGATGGTTATAATCGTTATAATGTGTTTTACAAGGGTCCAACGCGTCTCGTTACCCCTTATCTATTGAGAATTATATAAGACTTATGTCAGCTGAAAACGAACAAATTATAAAAGGCTTAGGTAAATTTCTCTCCCAAGTCATGAACATCGAACGGAAACACAGTGTTGAACGGTAAATCATTATTAAATCTACTCAGCATGCACATATATATATATACAGTATATTTCCATTGTATTATGGGCCGGTGGCCTGAAGTACCGAATAAATGTGTCTGTCTGTCTGTCTGTCTGTCTGTTTTACAAAGGAGTGTCATATGAAATGAGGCAATACTTGTACAACCGGTAGTAAAATGCTCCTTGTGACGAATCCCATTTCGTATAAGAACAAAATGTCTATTAAGAAAGGGATCTCTTCATGGTCATCACTGCAACATTTCTGTATGTGTTGTTCTATTTGGATATATTAAAAAATAAAAGTGTGAAAGAGTTACCTCCCTTGCACCGAAAGTATCTTATTTATGTGCGCAGCCAAGCCAGTAGAGTTACCGCCCCTTACTACCAGTTTGCGACCTCTACACTTTAAAAACGCAAGGAACAGGCCGCATCTAGTGCTCGTCCGTCCGTCCTTCCGAGGACATTTGTTTGTGTGACCTATAACTTGAATATTACTCGATAGGTTCTTTTCAAATTTGGTGAACACTTTTTGTATCTACCGGAGATGTGCAGTGTGAAGTTTGATTTCAATATTTGGATTTTCGGGGGAAAAGGTAGCTTTTAAAACTGTTATTATTACTTTGAATCTTTTTACTGAAACATTTGTGCGACCTATAACTTGAAAACTAATGCATGGGTCATTTTTAAATTTAAGGAATTGTTTTCATAACAACAGGAGAGGTGCTGTGCAAAGTTTGATTTTGAAATGTGTATTTTTTAAAAACATATGACGTTTCATGTTGTGAATATAAAAGATCAACATTTGTGCGACCTATAACCTGAAAACTACTTCATGGGTTCTTAACCAATTGGGGGTACGGTTTCTATACCAATAGGAATGGTGCAGCGCGATTTTTATTTTCAATATTTGGATTTTCTGAAGAAAATAGAGCTATTTTTCGTTTATTAACCTTTACTGAAACATTTGTGCGACCTATAACTTAGAAAACTACTTCATGAGTTAGGGCGGTCGGGTAGCCTAGTGGTTAAAGCGTTCGCTCATCACGCCGAAGACCCGGGTTCGATTCCCGACATGGGTACAATGTGTGAAGCCCATTTCTGGTGTCCCCCGCCCTGATATCGCTGGAATATTGCTAAAAGCGGCGTAAAACATACTCAATCACTCACTTCATGAATTCTTTTCATATTTAGGGAATTGTTTCCATACTAATAGAAGAGGTGCAGTGCGATGTTTAAATTGGATGTATGTGTATTTTCTGAATAAAATATGAACTTTTTTTAACTTCAACATATGTGAGACCTATAACTTAAAAACTATATCATGGATTCTTTTCCAATTGGGGGTACAGTTTCTACACCAATAGGAGAGGTGCTGTGCAAAGTTTGATTTCGATAAGCGGATTTTCTGAGAAATATTGCTTTATTCGTGTTTTGAACTTAGAAATGTGTTGGAAGTCGGTGGTATTAGTGAGCCCTGCTCACTTTTTGTCTTGTGTTTATTCCACAATTCCATACTATGTCGTTGTGTGGAGATATACAATATATGACCGAAACGGAAAGGCGCCAGACAGTGACCATTCCAGACGCCCTAACGACGACAAGCAATCAGAAAGTGAGTTCATCACCGAGTTCCAGGCAACAGGACATCAAGGTCATGACGGGAATTCCACTGCAAAAGGCTCAGGGTGACGCGGGTAATCTTCCAGGCGGTAGTGCTGAAGCTCTGCAAAATGAATGTGAGATTTTAGAAGCGGAATTAAGGCGTTTGCAACTGGAAACTAATCGTGGTAAGTTACAAGCCGAAATCAGTGCACTTCATGTGGGGTTGGCAAGGTGACGAGAATCAAGATGGCGGCATTAGATCGTCTCGGTATTTTTTTTAAGGTACGACTAACAAAAAGCGTTACATTCTTGATTATCTGTGGATTGATTCGTTGGGCAGTGATATAAAATATGTAGTACTAGGGGACGGCGTTTCTTAGATTTAGGAAAATCTTGCAACCGTAAACTAAATTGGCAAAGTTAATCAGGAAATGTGGACATAGGTATTCTGCGAGAATTAATCTCAGAAGAAGAGTTCTGAATAGACGAGACTTTAGATTATCTAAGTATGTAAAATACGTCTGTCGGCTGTCATGGAAGTACTTTTGGGGATGTGTCTTGTTGTATGGCCAAGAGTACAGAGCCAAAATCGAGCAGGAAAAAATCGGTAGGGCACCTTCTACAAGACATCCGTGACTTCCGGTTAATACCTAAAGCTGGATCAGCAAGTACAAAGATGCTTCGCCAGATGGACACTGCTACTCCATCTGTCAGACCCTATAAACGACCCTACTCTACGACTAATGATCGAAGGGGCCGTTCACTGGTGATGGTGTTGAGATATGTGGGAGACTGAACTACGGTACTTGCTACAGGGTTGACATGTGCCGATTTGTCCCTGTAGTAGGTGTGGACAACGGGGACGTGGAATGAGCCAACACAATCAGAACATGGGTACCCCACTTGCAGCCCCCGACTACCTGATCGCTTTGAAGCAAAAATCTTTGTGCCTCATCAAGCTCAAAGTCACTAAATGTTTAGGCTTGGAATGAATTGTTGCCTTCTGATGATGGAGATAGAGACTTCGTTTTATGTGGTGTCAAAGAAGGTTTCACAATTTCAGATGGTGATGACACATGCATGAGCATCAAGTGAATAATGACAAATACACAGATACATAGATGAGTGAGTGAGTATTGTTCTACGCCGCTTTTAGCAATATTCCAGCGATATCACGGCGAGGTATCAGAAATGGACTTCACACATTGGACCCATGTCGGGAATCGAACCCGGGCGTGACGAGCGAACGCTTTAACCACTAGGCTACCCGACCGCCCCTGTACATAGATGACAAGAAGGGAGGAGTAATTGTTGTATCATGTGCAATTTGCCTGAAAAATACGGATCATTGCTGTTTTGAGCATATGAACTTAATTTCTTTGTTGTAAAGATAACACGCACACGTTTTTCCAATCAAATGCGAATATTCAAGGGGATTTCCCCTCGCTATCAACGAGGTGGACCGAAGCCCGTTTTGTTTGATCGCTGATGCTAACTGACCATTCGTAACCACTCGCCCCTTTCCGTAACCTAGCGGCAAGAAGACTCGCTTGTCCCGGAATAGTTTGTTTGTTGTTTAACGCCCCACTCAGCAATTTTCCAGCTATATGACGGCAGGCTGTAAATAATCGAGTCGGGACCAGACAATCCAGTGGTTGACGTCATGAGCATCGATCCACGCAATTGGGATACGATGACATGCATCAACCAAGTCAGCGAGCCTGACCACCCGATCACGTCAGTCGCCTTTTACGACAAGCATAGTCGTCTTTTACTGCAAGCATGGGCTGCTGAAGACCTCTTCTACCCCGGATCTTCACAGGTCTGTCCCGGAATAACCCGAGTTGGTCACGAATGGCTAACTGGCATCTGGTGATTACGCGGGATAGCTAAAACGGCGCCGGTAAGACGACTGAGAGTTGGAGTGTTGTTTCCCTTTAATGGCGCAAGCAACAGGTCGTATCTAGCGCTGGCTAGCACATGTTTTCCCACCCACATTCCCAGTGGCATGTGCTGGTAGGTAGTGCATGGTTGTCATCAGACTTCAGAGACTAAGTGGAGACTTACCATATTACATCACCTTGTGGGGTCACCGCATGTTGGCCTATATGTTGCATCATGAACTTTGTACCTTCGAGGGGGGCACGGGTGGCCCAGTGGTGTAAGGCGCCGCGATTCGCGGTGCAGAGATGCGTCCCTTGGTCGCGCCAGAAACCTATGGGTTCGAATCCCGGTTGGCCGGTTTCTAGGTTTGTCATCACCATACCCGTGTTCGTGGGTTTCACCGAAGTGGTCAATGTCTGAGACCTGCATCACTTCGGGCTTTCCTCCCACATTAAGCTGAC